TCCAACCTAGATGATTCTATGATTCTATGATTCTATGTTTTGTGTCGCTCTACTGATTAGTTTTACAAGTTTTTTTACTTTTTTGCAATAACAAATGCTGCTAATTTTCAGTGAAAGCATACTCTTTTCATTTCCCTAGAAAAATGCCTTATGCAGTACTGAAAGATGTAAAGTGTTCCAGTGTGATCTTACCAAAGATGATCTTCTAGAAAATATACCAGCGGATTCTGTGGATGTTGTCACACTTATATTTGTGCTTTCTGCCATTCATCCTGACAAAATGCATCTCGTCTTGAAGAACATTTACAAGGTAAAACCAGCTGATTTTACAGCCTTTAAAGCACTTTTCTTCTTTTTAGCTTGAAAGTACGATTTTTTTCTGAGAAAATAACCCCACTTGTAATGGTGATGTTTAATACTATGTTCCATGGATGTATTTAGTTAGTTCACCTAGCATACAGGACTAAAATATGTTTTACAATATTTTTTTTTTTTTTTTTCTTCTTTTTTGGTATTGTGAGGTTGTTTGGATTCTGGCCTAATGCATGCCATCAACATAACAAAAAGGTATTTTGAACCTGTGACTTGGGCTCCTAGGTTGTATGCTACAAATAATGTTTATGGATTGCAGGAATGTCTGTATTGGTAAGGTGTGAATGACAGTGAACCAAAATTGACTTCCAGAAGATACAGTGCCTTGCAGTTAGGATGTTTTTGTTATTATTAAACGCAGTTGATCTGTGGTGATTTAGAAGTGGGATGTTCAGAGATCAGCGTTAATCTAGAGAGACTCATTTCCCTGGGCTGCCTTTGTTAGTTGATAGACTAGTATAGGCCCATCCAGAGGGTGGTGTAAACAGTCTGAATTGTGATTGTTCTGAATTTCTCTGAGATGTCATATATTGACTGCAGAGGGAAATAGTCAACGTATTTTTTATTTATGCATATGTGTGTATTTGGGGTTTTATATTATCAGATATCCTGTTTGTTTTATCATCAGTAGTTTGAAAAGGGAATGTTTGATTTTTTTGGTATATCCCCAGCTGTTTTTCAAAGTCAGGATTGGTTCTTAGCTTGTGCACATGAAAAAGCTAATTACTGTTTTCTCTGTGGAGATACCTGGCTCATTTAACTCGCTTGTAGGTTTCTGCACAAATTTGCAAGTGGCAAGTACTCCTTTCTCCTCTAACAAATACAGCTGGTACCTGATGAGGTAGGAAAGTTGCATGCATCAAAAATCTAAAGTCAGCATGGCCCATAACCATGTATTTCTAAATTTTAAACTCTTTATGGCTTGATTTTTTTACCAAAGAGCAATTAAAAAAAACCCCAAACCCGCAACCTATTTTCCTGAAATTGTTCTTTTTTTATTTATTATAGTGCGACATTTTTCTTACATGAAAAAAGAAATGTCATGGTATTCTAAATTTCATTGTTAATCATTAAGCAAAATTAGCTGCTAGACTGTATACTACCTAACAAAGAAAATGCCCTGTTAGGACTTAATTTTTATTGTTAAACTGTATATTTTCTTATTTCCTCTGTATTTGAAGAATATTGCAAAAAGCTTATTTAGCTGATCAGCACCCAAACGGGTATCTTGAAACTATTTGTAGTCTACTGTTCATAGGGAAACATTTTTAAGAGTGGACAATCCAGTTTATATACAACTTCTTTGTTGCACAGGGAATTAATTCAATATATATTTCACTTCTGTATCGAATGTGTTAGGATACCTTGTCTCAGTTATATGTGTATGTGTCTGTATGTGTATACAAATAAATATATATATACATGGCTAAATCCATTTACCTTATTAAAGCATATATGTATTATGTGGCAGGTATTAAAACCAGGCAAGTGTGTCTTGTTCAGAGACTATGGACTGTATGATCATGCAATGCTCAGGTTTAAATCTGGCAGCAAACTTGGAGAAAACTTTTATGTTAGACAAGATGGGACAAGATCGTATTTTTTTACTGAAGGTAAGACATACTGTAGAGTGCTTTCTTTTCTGTGAATCTTCTGTTTAAACTGGCTTCAGGAAATTGCCGACATGCCTGTGGAAGTTTTGTTTTACACAGATGAACTGTTAAATAGTGGTGTACTTCATTTGCCATCCTTTTTGGGAGGAGAAGGGTATTTAGACTGGCAGGACTTTTTGGAGCACTTTCTTGTTTACAGTCTTCTTGTATGGGCTATAGTGTGCCAAGAGCAGCCGTTTCTGAATTTGCTGAATTTCATTCAGATTTGTTATCTAAGGGAAAAAGACCAATGTTCAGTGAAAGAATTTATCATCTTCATGAAGTAACTAAGCAGTTACCTTGGCAGCATTCTTTTTGCAAGGCTGTTCGTGGTGTGCAAGGTGAGGTCTACTGAAGAAGTCAGCGACTTCTAGAACAGAACCATGGCTAGAGCGCTGAGAAGCTTGTGCATAGATCCTGTTGAGATAGCACTGACTAGCTGTGGTTGCTCTGTCTTCTGTTTTTCACTAAAGATGATGCAAAAAGCATTTCCATGTGATACAGTATTTAAACAGTTTTTCGTTTAGTGCTCATAATGCTTTAGGAAGGAAGCTAATTATTGCAGTTTACTGGTGGGGAAGTTAAAGCACAGAGACATGAAGGAATTTGCTTAGACTCTCACAATGAGTTGGGATTATAGCTTGTTTCCTAACTCCCAGTGCCTCATGCTAAACTTTAGTGAACCGTTACTTCCCCTGATCAATTATAGGGCATTGTGTAATAAGAACTGTGTGTTTATTTCTATGGGGCCTTTGTTCTTAGTCTAAAGCAAAATACAGCCACTGAAGAGACCGATTTGGAGCCAAGTAAATGTTATTCACATTTTATGACATAATGTATTGCCTAATTGCTTCTGATATATAAAACCCATTAATCTTGTCTGAGCTCTCTCTATTTATAGGACAACGATGAAATCTAAGATAAGGCAGGGTGTACTACAGCTTCACTGAAGCATTTCTAGAACTGTTATTTATTGACTGATTTTTAGTTCTGTTTAAACAATTAGCTCTTACAAAGAGAATGGATGCTAAAGGGAACAAATAAGAGACTGTGGAATTTTAAATCCCATTTTTATTGTGTGTTAGAATTGTTTCTGAATGAGAAATCCCTTGCTAGTATGCACGTTTGCTTTGGGGGAAGAATTGAGGTAGGGAGGAGGAAGAGGAAGGAGAGAAGAGGGAATTTGTCTTATATTGCTCATGTTAGCAATTGTTTTGCCTTGGGCTGGTCTGTCACTGTCTCGTGGACCACCTCTGCTCCCATTTTTAATCATTATGATCTCATTCATCTCACTAATTTTGATATAAATATTGTGTAATGCTTGAGAATTCTTTTGTTACTAGAAATATGACTGCCATCATTTCTGCAGTTTGCAACCCGTGCTATTTTTCATTTGTTTAGTGCTACACCGGTACACCAAGTAATTGCTGCATGGGGTGATTTGAATGATGCTTACTTATAATATGTCGGGCCTCAGATAACAACACTGAGCATCTTCCATGGAAAAAAAAAAATCCATTCTTCCACTGTTTGAAATTAAATTTGTGGAGGAATGCATGGTTGTAATTTTGTGTTACGAAATAGGTGCAACTTCCTCACAATGAGATTTCAATAGATCCACATCAAGTGCTGTTTATTTATATATCATTGATGTGGGTCCCCCATTTTACATGAACACACTATATTTACAACCAGTGCATGTGGCTTCATGGTGGGCTTAGGTTGATATAAGTCTGCATTACTACCAAAGTGAGTGGTCTCATCTTCCTTCCTCAACACGCTACCTCTTCTAGTGCTGGGGTTCCTGTACCCACATGATCAGCCGTCTCATCGAGCTGATCCCCGTGAGCAGTGAAAAAATGGCATGTCTTTGTTTTCTATCAAGCAGCATGAGTTCAGAATGGCTTAAATTTATTGTGAAATTACCCCCTGAGTAAATGAAACAAGGTGCAGGAAAGGAAAAGTGATGATTTTTAATTAACATGACAAGTCAATAGCATGAGCAGCCCTCTCTGCTGCTTAGGTCACCCTGTTTGTGAGGTACTTCTGCCTTCCCTAAGGGAGATATGCTTTGAGTAAGATTCTTTTGTTTATGGAAAATACTTTCAGTTTGACTTAGTGGAGGCTTGGTACCACCATATCCACTTTGCCATTTTGTCCATTTTTCTGTTGAGCAATGGCATGTGAATGTCTGGTAACGTAGGGTGGTATTCTTCAAGCAGAGATGCGTCTACAAGGCTGGATTACCTTTGAAATATTTGAAATAAGTGACGTATTCAGCTAGCAAAGGTCAGCTGCACAAAGTGAAAATGCACTGGCTTCAGTCACAAGGAGAATGACAAAACTCGATAAAAATAAGAGATGTGGCAAGTTTTGGAAACTAAACTGAGTAACTAGCTTACGCCCCAGTTTTGCAAGCTGTTTTGTTTAGGTTGATGTTTCTAAAGGAGATCTATGTTGATTTTTATTTGTCAGTCTGCTTGCATAGAACAGCTTGAAATCTGAAGGCCTGTGTGATTTTCATGCTGTAGCACATGAGAATATATGCTTATATAAATGCTGACTAGTGTTTTAAAAATAGCTTAAACATAATATTTCATCTTAATTTTTTAAATTCTTTTCCAGAGTTCTTGTCTCAGCTTTTCAAGGCTGAGGGATATGAGCAAGTGGTCAATGAATATGTGCAGCGAGAAACTGTGAATAGGAAAGAAGACTTGCGTGTTCCGAGAGTTTTTCTTCAAAGCAAATTTCAAAAGCCTTTCAGTAAGACATAAGTTCTTGCTGATTAGCAACAGCATTGCTTGTTTGAAATGGAAGCTAGCACGTAGTTTTTCCTTGTGTGTCCTCATCTTTCTGGTAAACCAGAAATGACTGCATCCAGTACCTCTTGTTGGTTTTCATCCTCAGATACGAAATTAATGCTATTTCTAATTCAAATTTAAGATGGTTTAGTGATGCAGGCAACCTGTTGAGTATGTGTATTCCTGATTCTAAAGTAAATCCTGTGCAGCGTTGTTGGAGGATGAGGTAAAGCACAGTAAATATGGTTAACTTTAAGCACTAGTTTTCATTAGTTATTATCATAATTGTTATTTCCATTTTTATTAAAACCTATTTTTAAATAAGTATCCTGTGTTTCCTATCACTTATGTTTTTTTGTAGCCTGTTAAAGTTACTGAAAGCAGAAGAAATACTGTACTTGTGGGACTTTTGAGTATAATTTCTCAGATACAGGAATGAAACGGACTCAGCGAGTGGTATAATGCAAGCTGCTTTGGTATTTTAATAATGGTATCTTTTTAATGTGCTCAGCATTTAGATATGTAAACAAATGTTTATATTCTAAATAAGATCCTAAATTATCTGATTTCATGCTTGAAGAAAGTTGTTAGAGGACCAGGTTGTCTTTATCCCTAATTAATTTCAGACATTCTTCATTTGATGAGCAGAAATAGTTGAGGTTTTGCAAGTCAGTTTCCCATTTGGAACTGAAATCAGTTAGTTGGAAGTACTTTCCTTTATATCAAGTGTAGTCAGCTGCTTCTTTCCTGAGCAGATATCTTAATTCTTTTCTGTCATTCTCAGGAAAGGTGTTGGTCTTTGCTGTTCCTATCACCAAAAGCCACTGTATTAATGCTGTGATTCATAACCAGCCACAGACTTGACTGCTTGAAGGTACTTCATCCTTTTCCTTCAACAGCCCTGGTGCTTTGCACTGCAGAAACTCTTCTTTGTTCTTGGATGATATAATCTCAGAAACACGTCTGGATCTTTAACCTGCATTTTGAACAGCTGCTCTGCAGCAGAGGAAGCTCAGAAATATCCGATGACTTGTGCAATGGGCTGTGCTGATCTTGTGTAATGTACACAAGTTGCAACAAGGGAAATTCCAATGAAATGCTAGGATTTTTTTATTTTTTGTGTGCAAGGGGAGGTCAGACACTGGGACAGGGTCTAGAGAAGTTGTGGAACCTCCATCCTTGGAAATACTCAGAAATGGAGGCAAGGCCTTGAGCAACCTGTGGCTTTATTTGAGGGTGGCCCTATTCTGAGTAGGGATTTAATCTCTTGCAGTATATATTAGTATGTGATTGATTGACTCAGGCTGTCATTTCACTGGACTTGTGTGTTGCTAGATGACCCAATCATACACATCTGATGTGGACCAGAGGTGAGTATTTGCCTCTGTTTAAGACAAACTAGCCATAAGATGTGATAATGATTTTTTTTTCAGCACTCTTAACACTGGCTGTGTGTGCATGGAGGGAAAGAAGTAATAACTTTTCCAGCATAAAGCCTAATGTTACAAAGCTAACCAGTCAGAATTTTTTTGAGCAAATTGGAGATGCCAGACATCTTACTCAGTTGATATGTTTATAAATAAATTTGCAGCAGATCATTGCTTTGCGTCAGGGCACCGCAGCTTTTTTTGGTCTGATACCATGAGCTCCAGAGCTGGATTTATTGTGTCATCAAACTTTGGCCTCAGAGGAAAAAGAGATTAAACGACGCAATTCTCCTAACGACTCTTTGAGGAGGGTTATTACATGACATCCTCTTTTTTTTATGGAGAGTATCATCCTGGGGATTTATGCATTGCTGACCCCTGCTGTGCAACCCATTAGCACTTTCTGCCATACTAGTAATAAATATCTAGTAACATTTATAGTAAATGAAAAAATATGCTAAAAAGGATATAACAATGATATCATTATTATAATCTGAGCAATCATCATTTTGTGGCTTCCCTCAGCAAATGTTCATCTTTAGTACAGCAGTTGTGCAATGACTGCTGTAGTCTGAGCTCTGTTGATTTTTAGCGGGGTTTGAACCCTGTAACACCAAGTGCCTTACAAGACTGAATGTTTGGTCCTTTTAGAGTATACGGCACATAAATGAGACTGAAGGATTGCCTTGTGTGGTTCCGTGTCACTTTGGCATATGATTGTCAGCATATGCAAAGGCAAGTGCACTGAAGTGAGCATCCCAAAAAGGAAATGAAATGTACGCAAGTATTAAAAATATTAATTGGAAGGTTTGAGTCATAGAATCATAGAATCGTTTAGGTTGGAAAAGACCTTTAAGATCATCCAGTCCAACCATTAACCTACACTACCAAGTCCACACTAAACCAATCAAGGGTAGACTAGACTAAACCATGTCCCGAAGTGCCACATCTACCCGTTTTTTGAACACTTCCAGGGATGGGGACTCCACCACCTCTCTGGGCAGCCTGTTCCAATGCTTGACCACCCTTTCCGTGAAGAAATTTTTCCTAATTTCCAACCTAAACCTCCCCTGGCGCAGCTTGAGCCCATTTCCTCTCGTCCTATCGCTAACCACGTGGGAGAAGAGACCAACACTCACCTCACTACAACCTCCTTTCAGGTAGTTGTAGAGAGCGATAAGGTCTCCCCTCAGCCTCCTCTTCTCTAAGCTAAACAATCCCAGTTCCCTCAGCCGCTCCTCATAAGGCCTGTTCTCTAGACCCTTCACCAGCTTTGTTGCCCTTCTCTGAACACACTCCAGCACCTCAATGTCTCAACCCAATAGACTTAGCTGCAGACAGCCATTGACTTCCTTTTTACACTGAACTAACTATTGCTTGAACAGCAATACACCTTTTTGTGGCTGTAGCTTCAGTATTTCTTTGTGTTTCTGCTTGAGGAAGTACTGTCACTTTTTGTGTAGCAACACATTAAATGGGGAGTAGTAGTTGTAATTTTTTTTGTTTCTCATTCAGTCTCATTTCCAGTCAGACCTGGAAAATAAAGTAGCATGCATTAGCGCCCCTGCCAGAAAAGCCTTCAGGTATAGTTGTCATAAAGCAGACATTATTTTGAGATGAATAGTCAGAAAGCTTTATTTGGTCTCTATGCCTCTGCTTCTGTGAACTCTAAATCATTGCAAGTTTTTGTAACTGTGGTAGAGGAAGTTGAGTCAGCTTTAAGAAATACTTGCCTTATCATGTGAGACACGACTGATGGGGTGCATGTGGCTGTTATAGTGCTGATTAAAGTGGATTTACTCCCCCCCCAACCTTTCAGGCTTTCCAAGCTCATCTAAGTTCAGCAGAGGTAGCACATGCCAATGATACCCGTACCTAGTATCCTTACTTGGAGAACTGTCCTTAGGGAGATGTAACCAGCATAAACAGTGTCAAAAGGACTTGGAAAAAATACACATGCACTGAATTGTGCTCACCCGGCACAAACAAGCTACTATGCCATGATTGTAATAAATGTCTTGATTGTTCTTTGAGTTGTCTTCAATCAGCGGGGGCTGCTGAGACTGACTCGATTGTCTGTAGAAGACCTTCCTTTTGTTTCCCTTAAGCTGAACTAGCTGCTCTGTCTGGCAAGCATAAGTATTACGTTACTTCATGCTGTCACCTTGTTCTGACCCATATTTAGAATAGAAGCAAATTATTATTGAAGGGTAGGACTAAGAAAATCCAATTTATTTTTTATTTTTTTTTTATGGTTTGATGCACTGTGATTATAGTCTCTGATGTGTAATAAAGTACGAACTCTGGTTAAACCTTTTCCTGTGGTTAGGGAACCCTAAATGTCACTTTCCAATGTGGGATTCTCTGATGTCTCCTACTGGAATTAGACAGCGTATATTAAAGGATCATGTTAATGGGTCAGTGTGTCAGTGAGGACATTAGTAAGGTCTGTTTGTTGGCTATTTTCATCAAATTTACAGAAATACAGTGTCTTTGAGTCTTCTGACATTTTGTGTCCTTTACTGTTCTGTCAAATTTGCTTAATATTGTCCAATGTGTTTGACAACAGGCTAAGACTAGGCAGAAATCCACACATGTATTGTGCATGTACTGCATGCATGGGTAAGCTTTCTTTCCTTAGGAATATGGGCTTCTGAGAAAAATCCATTTGAACTTTAAAGTAGTGGTATCACAGCAGGTTTTGTGTGGTTCATTTGATAGCTAAAAGGCTATTTCTGTGCATCTTTCAGGTACCTGAAGGTTCCTTGGCTTCCAAAGGCATAATATTTAAGTAGTTAATACAACACTATCCCTATGGTTGATGGTGCATCATTTCTATGAAACAAAGTGTTATAAAAGTGCGATCTGAAACTCTAGCATGTATAAGCATCAACAGCCAACTGTAAAAGGTACAGCCTTGGTCTCATGGGAGGACACTGGTATATGAAATCTGAAAGGATATTTGTAGGCCTAACTGATGTTCTTTTTTTTCCTGACTTATTGTACAGTTTATACGTCTGAATATATTGAGAGATACAAATTGCCAGTTAGGAAGTATTTTACTGGAAGAGTTATTTGAAAGAGATATATATATTTGGAGAGGATATCAGTTTTGAGCATCAGTATGTGAAGGAAAAAAGGTAAGATTATGTTTAAGCTTCTGGGGAAAAAGAAGTTTTCTGAGTTTCACAGGCCAGGGATGACATGCAATTAAATGAGTTATTCATCTAAAAGGTGACATTTTGGGAATGAAAGCCTGTAGCTTCTGAAACTAGACTAATGTTACTAGGCAGGCAGAAGAGCGACATCTAATTGTGTGCAATATTAGTAATACATGTAAGACAATCTTGGAAGCAGAATTTTATATTGGGAAGATAGTATGAAGATACGGTTAATGAAAATAGGTAAGCTTTTGTTTATGGATTTTTACCTCCCGTAGTGTAGCTATGATGAATTTTTCGCTGGTTATGCTTGTTACTATTAGGAAAGATTGTAAGCCATTTCAAACATTTGGAAGCAAACATTTACTAGTTAAACATTCTGCAAAAACATCTGGCCCTTGGGTGCAGTAGGTTCGGGATATTGTGCTCTGTATTTGTAATGTGAGTTCATTTATTAGAACAAAGGCAGGTGGTGAGCCTGTACTGTGGGGAGTCACACCAAGGCATTGCTTGCAAAGATAAAAGCTATTAGCCAGGTAAGATGTTCCATTAGAGAACTTTCTTCACTCCCACTTCCCAGGCTGATGTGCACCATTCGTTGTGTTTGCAGCAGGGAGAAAATACTGCTGCTGTGAAATCAGGG